AAGGTCTCGGTGTGGTTCATGGGACCAGCACGGAAAGTTTAAAACCAGAGGATTTAAGTGATTCAGTGACTCCACCAGGTGCCAGGAGGGCAGCCACGAGCACTAAAACTTGCTTTTCCCGGCTTTTTTTTTTTTTTTCCCTGGAATTACATGGAAAAGTTTCTGTTAGTATCAGGCCATGATTTAGCACACCAGATGAAACCTCTCTATCAAGCATTAGTGTCTGACATTGTCTTCTGTAGGAGCTGCTCACAGAATTCTCCATCTGAGAGCACCACTCTTCAGTAGCCATCTCGAGTGTCCTCCTTCATTAAATTATTTTGGAATGGGGCTGCTCTAATCTCCCAGGGAAGCTTGGGCTTTACCTCTCCTGGAAGCAAGTTGGACTGTAACAGGGCAAATCGATGTTTTACTCCTCGTATCTAATTTCACATTACATTTATGTTTTTAGGCACTTAAATTTTACTGCTTAAGGTATCTTGAGTATTGCATAGTCCAGTGTGAATTAAACTAATGATGGCTGAGAAATTCAATAGAGTGACTTGTATATTTAAGACACAGAGAGAGAGAGAGAGAGACGTATTTTCCTTTCGCGGTTTTGCTTGAAAATAAGTATAATATTAACGTATTAAAACCTCAGTTTTATGCATACTTGGTAAGTAATTTTATTCTAGCCTGGCTAGCTGGCCTACTGACATGTATTTTCACCACTGCTAAAAATAATGAGGAATCCAAGTGACACACATTTATGGCTAGGAGTGCCATCAGATCCCTTGACCTAATTGAGCATGCCTACACACCTTAGAGTGTTTTGCATAACCAACTTAGACAGCAGGAACATTTCCAACCGGATTGATTGACATATTTTATTTCTAACTTAAGCTTAATCATGACCAAGGATGATTCATTTATACCTTTCAAACTTTAGGAATTGACACAGGAGACAACCAAGCTGCAGACTCCAGTGTAAGCAATCATGTAAAGGGAAAATATATATATTAATATAGTTTATTAGCCTACTTAGCTGCTGAGGCTGATGTAATAAAATGGATTAATTAGCTGGTGGGAGAGTTAGTTTATTTTATAAAATAAATGTTAAACTAGATTATTTATTTTTTTTTCAGGAAAGGTTTTGTCCAAAATCACTCCTCCACTATCAGTTCTCCGAGAAGGTACTGTAAGGTGCGGTTTGATTTTTATTTTTTTTTTAATTTTATTTTTTAATAAACCAGCCGGACGAGAGCTCATCTCCCAGCAATAACCAAATTGACTCTCAAACCGAGAGAGTTCTCGGCTCTTAAGGCATGAACTACCTTCAAATAAATATCAGTGGTTTCCACACGCCGTGCCTTAAACGGGAACAAAGCCTAATAGAATAGACTGTAATAAAAGTGCTATTTCCAGCCGGCGTGTGTGCGGCTGCTCTACGCTGAAAATGTCCTTTAGCACTTTTTAACCATATTCTCTAGTGTGTCAGCAAAGAGACTCCATCAGAGTATTTAACATTGCTGGGAGCAAAGGAATAAAGTGGAGTCACTGTTGATTATTACTCATTAGCCACAAGGACATCCACTTAACATGTGAATAAATGAATGACACCATGTCCTAATGGAAATGGCCTCAGTGTACCTTTAAGCAAAATGTTGTTTAATATCTTCCATTTGCTGAATAGTAAAGAGGCCTGTTGGACATGCATAGTTAGCAAGCAGCCATTGTTGCTTTGTTCCAATTTCAGCATTTAATAAAAAAAGATGTTGTCTTGACTGCAGCAACAACGGGCCTCAAAACCCCGGGTGGCAGCACAGGCTTGTCCTCGTTCTGCAAACTCAGAACGGCGCCGGCATCCTAAAGGGTTAACACCCATAGAGCAAAGGAAGCCTTAGAAGGTACGTGTTCCTCATTATTCCGCTTTACATTCAAACATATAAACCAAAGAACATCTGATATCTTTATTGGTTTTCTTAGATAAAACGCAAGCAAGCTATAAGCCTTAATTTTCTTATTACCATTTGTTAACAAGGAAGATAACACTCTCAAAAGTACTTGATTAGGGCTCCCTTTGATTTGTATCTTGTTATGATTTCCAGGGCATATATTTTTTGTATTATTACTTGAGTACACTGATCGTTCTGATCAAAGTGATTAAAAAGAGGTATATTTTAAGAGTGTAAATATTAACCATACAGGTAAGCCACGTAATCTGAACGGCATCCCACAGGCTGAAGCCACACTTTGGGAAACAAATCACAGCATCACAGCTGAGATACACCTTCCTCTGGAGGCTGGAGCCCTCACACCCTCAACAGCAGTAACTTGCATCGGTCACAACTTTTTCCTTTTATTTTTTTTTTTTTTTACAGTGTGGCTACTGAGCGCAGCTGCAGGTATAGTATTAAAGATATTTTATAGCTAAATACTCACCGCCAGAACGCCTGTCTCTGCTCTGATGGGGATGAGCCAGCTTTGACTATCTGAGGAAAATAAAAGCGGGCGCGTTGGCTGATGCCAAAGATTGGGGAGGGGGGGAGGTTGTGTTATTTTAATACGTGGGGTAAAGCCTGTGCTGGGTCTTTTCCTTGCTGGTGTGGTTCTGCTGGTTATTTCTCACCTCCCAGGGCTTTCTCCTGACGTTTCCCCAGGGCTGTGATGGGCACTTTGGGGGGAGGATGAATGGGGAAGCCCGACACGGCCCGCTACGCCCACCCAGCACAAGTGGGGCTGACAAGTTGGAAGTCTCTTTCTCCTGCCTCCACCTCCTCCTCCTCCTCCTCCTCCTCGCCGGCGCTTCCTCAGGCCGGGCCCCGCGCAGACAGGGAGTGAGCGGGAGATGATTACATCAATCAGTGTCAGGTCTGGGAGCTGTGATTTATGAATATGCATAATGAGCTCTCACCTTTGAGAAGGACTAGCTAGGGAGATAATTGATTAGACAGGAAAAGAGCAGCCAACAGAGAGGGAGAGGAGGGAGAGGCCTCTCTGCGCCGGCTCGGGCAGGCCTGGCCAGGGCTCCACTGAGGCTGTCAAGCTGCAAGAGTGATTTCTAAAAAAAATTAAAAAAGAAAAAACCAAAACACCAGTAGGATTTTTAATGTTTTGTTGAAACACGCATAACGAACTGTTTCCTCACAAAATTAATGGGAATTTTCTCCGCGTTAGGGAAGCCAGGCCAGGCACAAAGGCTGCTTTCCCCCTGCAGGGAAACCCAAATTCTCACTTCCAGGAGCCAAAGGGGCGGCTTTCCCATGGCTGCCACCGGAGCATCCCCGCCGGCCCGGGCCCAGGCCCAGGCAGGGGGCTCTGGGGGGACGGGGAGCCTGGGGGCTGCCCTGCCAAGGCCAAGGAGCCTTTAATGGAGGCAGAAAGCTGGGGAGGCAATTGTTTTCCCATCCTGGGCTCGTTATTTTCTCCCACCCCCCCCTTTTTAAGCATCCGTCTGGCCGCTGTGTGAAAGTTTCTATGGAAAACCCACCAGGATGTCCAGAGGAAGGGGATGTGGAAATTTGCCTCTAGCTTTCTCTTCCCCCCCCACCCCTCCCATTTTACATGCCATTAATCTTTTATTTTTTTTCTTTTTTTTTGCAGAAGGACAGAGCTGCCTGGAGGCCAACACCATTTCCAGGGTGCTCTGTGCCCGGAGAGGACGTACGGGGGAAAGGAAGGGGACGTCGTGGAGGGGAAGAAAGTAGAGAGCTCAAAACTCTGTGGGTCCCCTCCCCAGGCTCCCCAGAGGGCCAGGGCCAGCTCTGCTCCTCCCGTGGCTACCAGGAGCCCGGGGAGGGCTCTCCCCACCCCAACGCACCGCCTGCCAGGGAGGGTATTAATCGTGACATATTAAAAACACCTATATAAAATGTGTGTACACACACATATATATATATATAGCATACACACACATATATATATATAGCATACACACACATATATATATAAATCTTATCGCTTACAGACGCCTCGGATTTAAAATGTAGTTTATCGGCCTAGTGCAACCCAATCCTATAAATAATACATTCCTATCACTATGACCTCAAAACGTCAATACGGCGCAGCCCCGCGCATTTGCATATCTTGTACTGTCTAAACTTGAAGCATGTCAGCTATGCGCCGCTGTTTGTACTTTAACTTCATTTTAACTCCCTGCTTCTTCCCCCCCCCCCCCCCCCCCCCCCCCCGGGGGCCTTTCACCAAAATACTTTTGTGGACACAGAAGGGTTTTTTGGTCAAAAAAGTATTAATCAACAAATATTCTGTCCCAATCACTTCTGTACAAACTCCATGATGCAAGACTCTGACTCTGCTGATTAAGTTAAACTGCCCTTGCTGTATGAAAGAACAGTCATTTAATGTG